GGTCCGTCCCGGCTGACTGCTCCTCCCAGCAGATGTCTGGGTAATTAAAATCGCCCATGACCACTACATCCCTTGATTTTAGTGCCTCTGCAAGCTGACCTGAAAATTCCCTGTCCAGCTCCTCCTCTTGGTTGTTAATGTTTCAAAAATAGTTTTGTAGCCTGGAAGCAATAATCCTTAGAAAAATGTGTTTTTAACCGGAGATCCTGGAGCAGTCAGAACTCTGACCCATTATACTTGTGTGGGAGGGCATGGGGGGAAGGTAGAGTCAAGATGCTGGCAGGGTGGCCCAGCAAGATTATAACTCTGAGTACCTCTAATAAACCACCAAGTATTCATGACACAGTGGGAGAGACATTTAGTACATTTTTGCTGCCAAGCATAATCTGATCCCAAATGTCTAATATTATTTCAGCTTCTACTACTCCTTCCTCAAGGCACTCTCAATATTAAGCTGTTATTTCTACCAATGATGTAATGCTATTGAAAGTTATCAGCTAGGCCTATTCATAATGCTGTTGTCAGTTCACCTAGGGAACACAGCCAGAGTGGACAGGACTGTGTGTGACTGACTAGGTATTCCCAGCAGGTGATGTTAGGCAGTGGCTCTAACCTCACCTCCTGTTTTAAGCTTTGCCCAGTTTCTAAGTCAGATTACTGACTGGGCTAGACTACCCTCCAAATTGGCTACTAGTAAGTAAAATCACACAGGGCTCTCAAGTCATAGCAGTATAAATGATGTTAGAATTAAGAGGGAAATGAATCAGAGAGGGAGAGAGTCACTCAGACTATAGTCCATGGAGTGGGACTTCTATGTGCCCTAGGAGCACACTAGAGAGACAGGCTGGTTACTTTTGTACTGCTTCAAATACTCCACAGGAAGAAACTCACAGTAGTTGGAAAACAGCACATCACAATCATCCTGCTAGTTCATCCTCTGCCAATACAGCTGGGTGCCCTGCTCAGACAGAGTCTTGACCTTGGCAGTCTTCACCATGGTCTTAACTTGCTGATAGTGGGGAGGGAAAAGATATTTCAAGACAATTCACCAAGCGAGATTTAAAGGGGGGCAGTGAATAAAAGCCCCCAAGTGGGTCAATAAAACAGTGACCAAAGAGTCAGAAATTGGGAAAGATGAATCAGAAAATGAAAAGCATAAGAGACCCAAAGGGAGAATACTGGGCAATAACAAAGACTGCTACTCCCTAATAATTGGGAACAAACAGGAATTAAAAGCACCAGTACACACCCAAAGTATCACCATAGAGATTTGGTGGGACAAAAAACACAGGACTGCAATAATAGTATAAGAAACAACAACATGGAGGCAGGGGGAAAGAGGAGGTGAAGATGCTATGGTCATGAATGTATCTACTGGCCGCAAAATTCAAGAAGAGATTAAAGACAGGCTGGCTGAATTTCTTTGGGTAAGGATTCAAAGAAAAAAACAGGCAAATATTATGACAGTGTCTATTATGAACTATGCGATAGGAGGAGGAAAGCACTTCTCAGAGCAATGCATAGAAGCATCCAAAAAGTTAAAAATGACAATAATGGGGGTTTAATTACCCATTACAGCAGGACACAGTTGAAGTTCTTTAAATGTTTTAAGGGCAACTTTTGTTTCAAAAGGTAGAGAAAGCTACTCTGAGAGCTGCTATTTTAGATTTATTCTTTACTAGTAGGAAGAAACTGGCAGAGAATATAAAGGTGGAAGGTAATTTGGGTGAAAGTGATTACAGAATGACAGAGTCCGCTAGTCTAAGAAATGGAAGAGTTGAAGAGGAGAATAAGAACAATGCACTTTCGAAAAGCAGGTTTCAGACAATTCAGGGAACTGGTAGGAAGGGTCTCTTGTGAAGATAATATAGAAGGAAAAGGAGTGCAGATACTGAAAGAACTTACATTGCGCTTTTAATGACAAAACCATCCCAATGCAAAGGAAAAATAGGAAACATAGTAGGAGTCCATAATGGCTTCAGCAGGAGCTCTTTAAGGAGCTGAAAAACTGAAGTTTTACAGAAGTGGAACAGAGGATGCATGACAAAGGATGTTCATGAAGGAACAGTATAGGCATGTGGGAATAAAATCAGAAAGGCAAAGACATAGAATTAGTTATAACTACCAAGGGGCATGAAAAGGTAACAGAAATATTCTATAAGCAAGATGATGACAGAAGGAATGTAGTTAATGTGGAAGGACAGAAATGGATGATACAGAAAAGGCTGAAGTGTTAATCCTTCAGTCTTCACAAAAAAGGTTAATTGTGAACAGATACTTAGAAAATGATAACAAAGAAGAATGCAGCCAGAATAGGAAGAAGAGTAGATTAAAGAATAATTAGATAATTTAGATATGATCAAATCAGCTGGGCCTAATGAAATTCATCCTACAGCACTTAAGGAAGTAGCCAAAGCAATATCTGAACGTTTAGTAATTATCTTTACTAACTCATGGAGGACAGGGGAGGTCCCAGAGGGTCACAGAAGGACACTATACCATCTATAATCAAGAGAGAGGAATTATTAGGACTTTGGAAACTACAGCTTAACTTTGAAATTCATACATATATGAAGACAAATTTAAACAATTGATTTACAAGCACCTAAAGAATAAAACCACCAATATGAAGTTATCAAGAACAACACTGTCAAACCAATCTAATTTTCTACTTGGACAGGATAATTGGCTTTGTGGATAAAGGTAAAGGCAATAGATGCAATATCACTTGAATTTAGTAAGGCGCATGATACTGTCCTGTGTGACCTTCATAAAATGAAAAAGGCAAATAATCCTACAGGAAGTAGTATAGTGCTGTAAACCTGGGGCAAGACATTCTGTTTGGTCTTGTGGAAGTCCCGGCTTGAGGTCTGAGTCCCATTTGGGGCACCACATTTTAAAACAAACATGGACAAACTGGAGAGAAAGGGAATATGAGGAAAGATTGAAGGAAGTGGGTTGGTGGAGTCTATAAGTAAAAAGATAATGAAGGGGAGACATGGTAAGTCTTCAAAGATGCAAAGGGCTGTTACAAACAGATGATCAATTGTTCCCCATTGTGAGGGAGTGAAGAGGCGTGCCGGCTCTGAGGCTTCCCACCCCGGCGCAATCGCGCTAAGCTCCCTCACTCAAGCCCGGAGCACGGGGCAACAACTCACCTTTTGCAGGTGCAAGGAAGGAGGTGTGGCCCAGACGGCGGGGGCCAACATAAGGGAGACGCCGACGCCAGGAGCAGGGGAGGTGGAACCGGAAGTGAGCCGGGAGCCAAGGAAGCACCTGCAGGCGGAGGGGTAACTCCTGGAGACGCTGCCAAACCTGGTGGGGTAAGGGTAAGCCCCAACAGGGCTGGGGAGCCAGGTCGACGGGCCCCAGCCAAGCCCCGGACGTTTGAACGCTGCAGGGCACGGCTGGACCCGGCAGGAGCCGGGAGCTGTATATACTGTAGTATAGGGGCACTTTATGGAGAGGAAGAGGCTGGCCGGTCCTTTGGAGGACTAAGAGGCTTTTGGAAGCCCTAGAGAGGGCTGAAGAGCCCAGAGAGAGGGCTGTAGAGAAGAGTGCCGAGACACACAGCAGTTAGGGTAATAACCAGGGGGCCGAAAGGGGCAAGGCAGCCCCTTGCTCTAGAGAATCCCTGGCTGTGACGTTTGTGTTGACCGGACTTGTTTTTTTGTGGACATTGAACGACATACTGACGGGGCAGTTACCCTGATCAGCAACCTAGCCGGTGGTACGGGCGAGGGTGTAGGGGTGGCAGAGCCCTCATCGACACGGGACCCTGATAGTCCAGGAGTCTCACTTTTGGACTGATGCATTCGGATTAATATCACTGAACCAGAATACCATCAAAGTCGTGGCAGGAAGACCGGACGCGTACAGACCTCCGGTGATTGACTCTAAGTGACAGGAAGCCCGTTTGAAGACGGGAGGAGGTGGGTACAGCGAAGTACGCGCCCCACCCCCCCACACCCATGTCTATTGAAGAAACAAAAAGAATTGATGTCATTGGAGGTTTATGAGAAAACAGTTTAGACTGAGAAACATCTATTGGACATGGTGTAGGTATATTTATTCTGCCTCCATGCAGGGGAGTGGACTAGACTTCTGAACATAGGCCCCTTTTTCAATCAAGTACCACATGGCTTCAGAGATAAAGGATCTTACTAACTAACTGGATAGGAGTAAATGGGAGGTAAGGGGGAGGTTTAATTTCTTAAACCCAGTAATATGAAATCAGCTTGCCCATGGTATTGAAGCTTAGAGATTTGCAGTTATGAAGTGGTCTCAGACAATCTTACAGAATCTAGTCCCCCTGGGGCAAAATCACAAACTCAAGATGAAAATGCCTTAGGGAACTAGAGGATGGCTGACCAACAGTCTGGCTCAGAGGATAAATAGCAACCAAAATTGAAATCTGGTGGTTTTTTGGAACAAAACTTACATGCAAACTTCAACCAAAGTCAGCGATAGAAATGTTGCCATTTCATTTTTGTCCATTTATACCAAATTATTGCAAGAGATATATGCTCTTCCCCTTTTCTTCCCTCATTTCCTTTCCCAAGAGCTTCTTGGGCCCCTCTGCCCCACTCCAGAAGCAGCACACGCAGGTCCTTAAAGAGCTGTTGCTGAACTTTATGGCACGTGAAATCTCAGGTCAGGTGAAAGAAAGGCTGAGTCACACACTCTATCAAATGAGAGGTCTGACTTCCTGCTAAACTAAAAGGGGGCTTTCAAAAAGGGGTGAGGGGCCGAAGAAAAGAACCTTTCATCACAAAAGCCTAAAACAGGCAAACAGTGCTGGGTAGACTTAGAGAAGAACTCATGTGACTCATTGAACCAACTGCATTTTAACATTTTGGGCAAACTATATTTTTAAGTTTTTTCCTTTTACCCATCATGTCGCAACCATCTTGCTGTCATCCATTGTTGAGGATCTGCTCATTCTCCACACCCCTGCAGCCCCTCTGGATTTGAGCAGGCAGCTTCTTTTATCCACCCCCACTCTCAAAACAAAGAAAAAAACAAAAGAATCTTGCATTTTGATTACTTCCACACATCCCATTTCACTGGCTTTATTACTAAAAAGTGTCCAAGTGCTGACAGTCCATTCCTTTAATAATGGAACTGCTTCATCAAACACAGTCCCCATTAGAGAAGAAAACAAACACCAGATGGACCATTTCAGACAGGCATTTTTTTTCCCTCTTAGCACCTGTGAAGGGCACTTGCTCCCACCAGAGGCACTTTATTATAAACGTTACATTTCCAGACCATGATGGGACAATTTGCAGCTCACTCAAATTGCTGAGGTGAAGTTGTCTTTAATACAGCTTTTCCGTGTTAGTGAAAGCCACTAGCCTGGCAAGGCAGAAGACAACAAAAGTCCCTTAAACCAAGGAACTGTGAACAGCATTCCTTTAACAATTCCTTAAGCAACCAACAGCACCAGAAGTAGGGTTGATCCAATTTTTCTGCTGGGACTGGTTTCAAAGCAGACAGATTGAAACAGATGTTTTAGGGGTCAGGCAAGTCATTTTACTACCCAGGTAACAGGGGAACAGTGTTGTATGGTGTCCCTGCCAAAGGTGAAAAGGGGGCTAAAGTAACGTCTTTGAAGTGTGTAACCTACTTCAACATCAGCCTCCAGAAAGCTAATAGCTTGCTTGCTTTTAGGCACATGGCAAATAGGAAAAACTATTTCTGACCTCACAAAAGTTTGGGTTGGTGGTGTACTCATCCTATAAAGTAACAGGATAGCAGTGTTGTATGTTATTCGGGAAAGCAAGAAGTTATGCAAGTATCTGTCATTTTTATTACACATTTTATTAGAAAAGTATCAAAATATTACCTAAATTCCAATAAAGTTATAATGTAAACACTTGCCCTGCTATGAAGGGGAGAGATCAGAACTTGTTTCACATACCTGATGGTTAAGTAGTGTAAGAACTTCCAGAAAATTGCCAAATTAGGTTATGCTTTAGAGGTAAAATATTCTCTATGATTAATCCCCTGAGCTATCCAGGCCTTGAATTCATATTTAAACATGCTGGTGGGTAACCCTACCTGTTGAAATAGGGACCCTTGTGTCATACTTCTGAGGGAAGTGCAGCTCACAGACTCTTAACGTAAAACAATATACATTTGCCAAAAGCAAGATGTTAACTGGAATCAGCAGCTGTGTGCTGCAGTTGGCCTTCACCATAGCAGACTCTTCTGTCAATAATAAGGAAGGTGAAAAACATCCATATTGGGATAAAAAGAACAACTGAGGTACAGTGAAATCTTGCCACACACTATATGTTTAGCAACAGGATCTAGGCCTTCTCTGCTTAGACTGTTTTATTCTAAAATTATTAGCATCTCTGTTACAATAATGCATCAGCAGTGGAGCTGATGTTCTCTCAGTAATAACAATATAGGTGCTAAA